GGCAAGGCTACGTACAGATCGGTGGGAGGATGGCAATGTGCTTTAAGGTGAAAAGTGTGCTCCAATACTGTGATATGTGATCATTAAGTGTGACCAATCAATGTGAAAGAGCACAGTCAATGCGGTCGCGGCAAAACAACAAATTCACGTTCTTTTGGCTGTATTTGCAGTGTCATGGTTAAAATGATGTTGAAACTGGTGCATAATTTGAGGCCTAGAATTCTATGCACCCTGGTAGGGAAGTAAGGAAATGAGGTGGTTCCTAATCTTCATTTTTACTTTCCCTTAGCGATCAACATTGGCCTTAGAAAGTTCCAAATTATTTGTCGGGGAGGAAATGGAGTGAGCAGTTGGACAACGAAGATGCGAAGAAAGGGCGAAAGATATAAAGTTGAATGCTTTATTGGCTTTCCAAACAAAAATCACGTAAAAGCGTAAAAGAGCTTTGCACCTAGCATTCTCTTCGATGGATAAAGATGGAGTAAGTGACTAACAATTATTTTTCCAAGTAAATTAATCCAGAGAGACTTATGCCGTTTTTGTTCATGGCACAAATTTCCTAAAAGTAGCGGCCATTCCAAATTTGTCCTTTTTCACCAAATGTGCAGATTTTATGCTCTATTTATGTGTATCTATCACCATGGCTGTTCCTCGGATGGTCGATTTAATATTGCACTCGGACTCTTGGGGAGCGCTAATTCATTAACATGTCTGCTACTTCCCTTGTCAACAGCTGTTCTCCCATTTCTGGCTACTTCAGACCATTAAAATTAATGGATTTTAGGAGGGCAAATAGATGGATGAAGAGAAGGCAGATAGGTAGGTAGGCAGTACCTTAAGGTCTGACTTCATAAGATCCGTTCATGCAACTCACATGTTCACAATGCCAGATGAAGATCATGGTCTCAGTGGCTACCTTACTGATGGCCTGCGTAATGGACTTTCAAAATTGTGTGAATTAAACGTCTTAAATAGTTAACTGTTTGCGATCAAAACGATGCCTTTTTTGTAAATATTTATTAAACAATGATTGCTTTGATTTTGGAATGCAATACTATCTCTAATGAAATGTTGTGTTGCAGACGGATACGTTGACTATCACTGAAGAGCGTATACATTTTGCCAACTTCCTAAAATAGTAAAATATAAAGATGAGAGTGAAGATTCTAAAAATGGAAAAAAGTGTACTATAAATTTTTAGATTTTTATGGCATAGTTTGTATGAAGAGGGACTTTTGTTAGTGGGTGACTGAGTTTCAACTATTCCCATTTGGGTTCGATCAAATGAGTAGTTGTTTCGGGTTCATTT